TTCTGTTTGATTCTGGATGCTACCTCAGCTCCTTCTCTGTTGGTTTCATCACAGTGCTCTAAATTGTATCAGCTACTAATTCTTTTGAACACAAAATCACCTTTTGAAATTGCTGCTTTTAAAAAGTCTCCATCTGTAGTTATTACTGCAGTTTGACCTCTGAAGAGAGCAAACTTACCAGCTACAATACCGCAAACCTGTATTTGATCATTTCTTATTTAAAATACTTGTGTGCATCTGAAAGAGAAATGACTGTGGATGGATGTTATCCCTCCGCTTCATGTTTAATTCTGGCAGAGCATTTCCAGAACTTGAAACATGATCTCCAAGGGCAGGAAAGGTAATTTAGAGACTCGCAGCCCCACGTTGCACACAATGCACGATACGCCACAGCTTGGGGCAGTACCCAGAAAACTCTCCTCGTTCCCCCAAATGCAGTTGTTTAACGTGGTCATCCCCACCACAGCAAACAAGGAGATATTTATTTAGACAGCAGTCCAAGAACCAGACCACAGAGCGCTTTCAATGTGACTTCTGCAAGTTTTCCCTCCAGCACTCCCTTTGGTCCCAGGTGGCTCCCCGAGCAAGGCGCGGGGCCTCCTGCTCCAAGCCCCATGCAGCGGAGCCTCCCCCTCCCTGGTCACCGCCACCAGCCCTCGGCTGCTCGCGTGCGTTCAGACAGGAGTGGGGGAATGGTGGCCGAGCGCTCACAGCCGCGTGCACAGGGATGGGGACGGCTCCGGGAAGGGATCTGCCGAGCTCTGAGAGTCGGACAGACCGACGGCAGGCAGCCCTCACGAGCCCACAGATGCTCGCACGCCTCTGCAGCGTGGATCCCGAAGTAATTCCAGTGCTAGAGCACGGCCAGAAATAATTAGTTTCCCTGCTCCAGCATTAACTGTGCTGCAGTTGAGCTTCCCGTGCGTGTTTGCCAGGAGACTTTTGTAGAGAAAGGGAGAAAGAAGGGTGGGGACAACCATTCATCTTTTTTGAACATTAAATAGAAAATATCCCCCACCTAATCACAACGGCTCCGTCCACGGCTGCTCCCCACGCAGACCAGAGCCCCAGCACGGACCTGCATTTGCAGTCCCTTGGCGCTGGGCCACCGGGGCTGAGGCTTTTTGTGCATGCTGAGCACCAGGAATTAGGGCACCCTGCCCGGCTCCAAAACCCAGCAGCACAGCCCCGGGCCAAGCCCAGCTGCTCCCAGCGGGGCTGCAGGACAGAGGGGTGCCGGGTCCTCGCTCCCCGCTCCCCGCCAGCCCCTGCCCGCGTGCCCCAGGCCTCGGCAGCATCCCGGCGATGGGGAACGCAGGCTCTTTGGCTCTGGCAGCCACAGGGGAAATGCTGCATTAGCAGACTTCTGTGCTCCGGCTGCTGCCATGGCTGCTCGCTGCCCCCCATAGAGCCCACGGCTGCGTACGCCCATCTTCCCCTGCATCTAACAGAGAGTGCACATCAGAGGCAGTGGTGGGTGGGGAGATAAGGGGGAGAAGCTTTAAACATTGCCAGGTCAGCGCAACAGGAGGTAAGCAAGTACAGAGGCAGCAAGGAGTACTGAAAGTTTTTGATATACTCCCAGGTGGACTCCCCAACGCCTGTAAATGTCTCAAAGGGGGATCCCCTTTCTGTGCGCACGGACGTGTTTCAAAGGAGCCCCAATCAGTGCAATGTTTCAAAGACCTCTGCTCTCTAAAAATTCCACCCCCAGGCCCCCCCCGGCTGAAAACATCTCTAAACAGATCCCTTCCTGGCTAACTGCAGCTGGAGAGGTCTGGTGTGCTGCTTACAGCCCTCCTACAGGCCCCAGTGTAAAATGAAACAAAACATCTACCATTTACCTCCTCCGGGGATGCATCCAGCCTGCTCCTTCTCCAGGGACCCTGCGCGGGACCCAATATGCCTCTGTGTTTGTGCACAGGATATGAAGGGCTAGAGTGCAGAAGGGTAATTTTTCAAAGCAGTGTGTGGGAGTAGCACTGGAAATTCCCTGCATATTGCTTTGAAAAAAATAACCCCCTACCTCCATGAATTATGAGCAGGGCCTCTGACTCCAGCCTGGAGAGCCGAGAGGTGGAGGAGGGAGGCACAGTCAATTTAACTGGATGCACGCTTTAAGACTGGGATGTAAGAAATAACTGGAATCTTTAATCATCTTACGGACACTGATATGTGAGGGGGTCACGGCTGAAGAGCAGGGATGCTTTGGCTGACAGTCACCTGAATGAATGAATGAAACTGTAGGTAAGTGTTTAGGACATCTCTCAACTATTGATTTTGTGCTTCGCAAAATATGAGAAGGAAGTGCAGCACAGAGGTCTTGGATTATCAAAGCCAAGGTGTTTTTTTATTTTACCCCAAAATTACATGTCAAGGCTAACTTCAATGCCTTGGCTCACTTCAAATTCAAAAGAGAGATAAAAATCTCTCCCTGGAAATGCTTATCCTCCTCAAACCCTTATCGGAGATTGGTATCAATCATTCATTTCCCCCAGACAGCACCTCGATGACTATATTAAGCCAGACACCTTAATTTCAGCCAGATACAAGTTCATCGAGACGAGTCCAACTGCCGCGCTCTGAGCAGACACAACCCGAGGACAGGGTTCCCCCGGCCCCGAGCGCTCTGGGATTGCAGTGCCCCTGGCAGCACAAACAAACCCTCGTCTGTAGGTCCTAAACTGCCAATGACAGTAACTGCTGTGGCACAGACCTGGGCTGCAGGACCAGCATTAGCTTCTTTCTCCTGCTGCCACCTGACTGGACGTGGTCTCAGTACAGAGGAGACGCTCCTACACTCGCTTCGTACACGACAAACCAAACCGAGGGACAGCGGGGCACGTGCTGGTCTCTCCTGCAGCCGGTGTAAGGGATGAAGGCTCTCGGGCTTTCAACAAAGGCTGCGGGAGCAAGCCCAGGAGGCAATCCATCACTACCACTACTGACTCAGCACATAGCAAATTAACACCGAAAATCTGCACAGCACTTTCTGGTAGGCAAACTGTGACGTCCAGCCTCCCCTCTCCTCTGCAGTACTCCCCAGCGAAGAGCAAATGCCAGCAGATGACACCTTCTGGAGTCAGCCACGTGTCAGAGAGGGGCCCCGGTGCCTTGTGAACAGTCTGAGATGCCCAGAGCAGGAGGACGTTTGGCTCACGCTACAGATTTCCATACTTTGCTCTTTCCCAAACTCACCCCAAACAAGTGAACTTAATGAACGTTCCCAGCCTGTATCCCAGCAAGGAGACACAAAGACGCGACCCCTCAGTGAAATAATCGGGTATTTTCTTATCGTATCCTGGCACATACAATGTCCTAGGTATATGGAGCTGAGTCCATACGTACCTTTGCATTTATGGAGGTTTTTTTCCAAATATGTATTATAACTTATGTACAGCTTTAAAGAAACAACAGGTACAGGTTTCACAAACAACAGCACCACACTCTTCTCAACCTCCTCTTTCTCCTACCAGTGTTGTTTTCCAATAGCTCTCTGTAATACCGAACCTTGTAATGACATATATATCATCATGTATTATTCCAGACAGCACTAATTTGGGGATATACATAAATAAACTTCACATATCGATCACTGTAAAGAAACTACTTTTTTTTTTTTTTTAAAGGACAAGAAATTCCTCCCTCAAATCAAGCAGAACCTTAATTCAACACTTCATGAGCTATGTATTTAAAAATCAGCAATTATTTACTGTATCATAACTTAAGCTGAAAGAAGTGATAAGCTTGCCTAAGGACTCCTTTCTTTCAGGCTTTTGTTAAAAAAAAAAAATCTAGGGGGGAACTGCATGAAATCACTATGGTCCAATTAACAAGAATCTCACTCTTCAAGCTTGCAAACAAGAGATTACATTAACACCTGCTACAAAAGCAAACATTTTTAGATATCTTCATCTTAACCTGTTTGACATTGACTCAAAACTCCTGCCTGGCTCTAGAATGAAAATTATTGTGACTGACATGTATATTTTTCATTTGGGGGTATGGGGAGCGAAGACTGTGTCAGTCTGCATTTCTCTCTCTCTCTGGTATTTATGCATAATTCACATCAAAGATAATAGGAGTTACATATATGCATTGACGGGAGAATAGTTTCCTAAATGTAAAATTGTTGAAGGAAAACCATTATGCTTATGGGAGATAAATGCTGCACATGAACATACGAGACACACAAAGTGCGCCGGAGGGTCCTTGAAGGCTCTCATGCAACGCACGCCTACAGTGGCATGTGTAAGTTACTCCTCTGTGGTCCATGCATCAAACTAAACTGACCTCTTGGGCCAACACATGGATTCGGAACATCTGCACAGACAGGAAAAACATTTCTTTGCGTTCATCAGAAACTACCCGCATGCAGCTGCAGCAGCAGTACAGCCCGTCAGACTGCAGTGACACTTCACTTCACGCTCCTACGACAGGACTGTAGCAGGAGGCAGCAAGCACTGCTTTTAAAAACACTCCTGTGTCTGAAAAGTTGAACTTTCTGAAGTCCAGAATTGTTGGGAAAAGGAAAAAAAAGCACTGAAATAACTCTGTAAGCATTTTGTTTTGACAGTGTTCCTCAGGAATTCACCACATTTAGCTGGGAAAATGCTAGCAGTTAAATCTATTCAATGTCATGACATACAAAATTGAAACATAATTGCTCCTAAGTGGTTGACAACTGGCAAGTACTTTTTACGTGGATAGAGAGAAATTTATGCTATCAAATGGAAGATACTGTCAAAAGTTTGATTTTAATATAAATGAAAATGCTACACGAGGACTCAAAAGGATAAGGAAAAAAGCTCAGCAGTAACACTTTTATAACCACATATTTAAAAAGCTTTGAAGTGAAGAATCATTACATCAAAATCATTTTCCTTGAAAGATAAAAAAAAATTACAGCATGAATATTAACAAGTTATTAGAATAGTGAATTTCAAAGAGTAGCAAAAAACAAGCAGCCCATGAGTGGCCTAGTTTAAAGAATGTCTTACCAATCATATGGTTAGCGACATGGATTTGTATCTCTCTCTCATTCTCAAAGGTCATCTGGCACTTGATGCATTGATAGGTCTTTTTCTGTTTAATAACCAAAAAAAGATTAGAGAAAACTGCACTGTAGCATAAGGCAAGTGTGATCATGAATATAGCATGTTACGTGCTTCAACTTCCCTCCGCTGAGTCCTTTCCCACTTGTACATGATACCCCTAAGACACCAAGTCGGGCTGGGCTTTTCTGGACCATAAACACGACCTCTAATTAACAGCCTGCTTCTAGAGAACTTTAATTTCAACTTTACAAATTCCAAATGATAGTACTTGAAAGTCTGATTGACTACTTGAGCCATAATCAGAGTGCTCGTGTCGTTAAGCCCATGATAGTAAAACCTCTTGTAGGGTGAAATAAAAGATGTTGAAAAGATCACAAAATGATCAACTTTTTCACAAAAATATCAACTTTTTCAAAAAATTACATCTTTAGAGAAAGCTTAGAATAGAGGAGTTTTTCTAGGCAAAACTCCTCTGGTTACTTGAGGAACTGAAGGACAAGAGGAAAAATACATTTTGTACAGGTCTCCCATCAGAAATCCTGAAAAACCTGCATTACCACACTGAATGGTTTTCAAGCACAATCTGTTGCATATTTTCTCTGTCACAAAGTCATACTAGGGAGGTCTGGCTGCAGAAATCAGAAGATGGTGTGAAGAGGCAATTACATGAACCATTTATTCAAATAGGGAAAATGGGGTTTGGACTCAGACTGACAGCGGTGCATGCATTTGAGCATCATGACAGGGAAAAATTCAAGAAATCATTTGTAGAAATGAAAATGCATACTGACAAGTTTGATGTCCAAGTTAGGAAAAAAACAAAAACAAAAACAAAAACAAAACAACTAATGCTAAGCTTTTGTACACTTGCAAAACCTCTCACTTCCCAAAGCAGGACCACCGCACTTTGGTCTAACGTGCATGTTCAACTCCTGCATGGGACCATACTATCTGAATAGACACCTTTTGCGGGTATTTTGTGGGTATTTTCTGTGCGCTCTTAGATGCAAATTATTTTTTCTTACGGCCTTCCACCCCACACCTAGGTATAGAATCTTATTTTTAGGACAGCAGTGGTTAAGTCAGAAGTTCAGAGTTAAACAGAGGAGTTGCTGTCACCCCCTCCACATATGGGACCCAATTTCCTTGAGCACCTGCTGAGGAAATAACAAATTAGGTGCTGCCAGGAGCTTCTTAACTACTTGCCATGTCATCAGTGGCAACAAGTTCGCCTGCTGGAGGTTAATGAACACGCTGCAATGCCGCAGTAACGAACGCAAGGATCTATCGCTGGTATGCGGATTCCATGAATTCTGCACACAGTGTGTGTTTGCACATAGGCAGGGCTTTCTAGGCTAAAATAACAATGGGCAATTAACATGATAATAGGAAGAAGGCTATACTCCATTGGCCGAAAACTGACACAGCCAACCATAGAAAAGGAAATACTTTGGATTGGCTAGTTATCCCTAGGCAGCTCAGGAAAGTATCCTCCTGGAGTCCATTCTGAAATCAAGGCTGTTAATGGAAAAGCAGCTGGATTTCTGCAGCACTGTTCCTTGGGAGTCTATTCCAGCCGACGAGCGCAAGCACACATACGTGCACATGTATTCTCAAGCACACTGGCACACACATGCTGAGGGCTCCTAGCTTGAAAAAAAAAATGAAAGAAAAAAGAATGCAAAAAACCTTGGAAGAGAAAAATGGGACTGGGTGGTGAATGATTCATGTGGTCACATTTGAAACTTGAAATCTTCCTCTTCTGTAAAACTTCAAAGCTGACTCAGTTCTGTGCCTTGTTCAACACTTATCTCTGTTATGAGGGTTCCCTAAGTAACTAGCTAAGAAGGACAATATTTCAGCTCAACCCCATTGCAAATCTTTAAAGTTATATTAAACACAGACAAATGATTCATTTTTTTAATTGATTTCGGTGCTTCTGAAAGCTACTTACTAACAGATCTGGAGACAGGATGTCTTTGTTTATCCACAGACCCAGTGCGAACTCCTCCACACCATTTCACAAACTTATAAAACACTCCAGTTGGTGTGACCACCCCTCAGAGAAGACAGCAGACTTCAGATTTCCTGTGAATATTATCTTTAGCCTGAGCTGACACACATGCATGCGAAAGAGCAGTTTAACTGAGGCAATGGCTCTTTTGATCGGGAACCCTGCCTGATGCAGGATAAGGTCAAAAAATGGCTTCATACAGGCCACCAAAGAACTGTAGCCTGATTAGCACCCAAACGTAGAAGCACGAGATTGAAGAGTTGATTTTTTGGCTCACTAATAATGGTCTTTAAAAGCATGTCCCACCAATAGACTTCCATTCTCAGTAAATGGGAAGCATGAGTTTTAATACAAAGTTATGTTAGTTGTGGTGCCAAATACGACCTTCTGCTACTGTTTCCTGTGGGTATCGTGACTTCCCTGACATTGCTAAGGGGCTGGTTATCTCTTCCTCAAGTTTTGTCGTTCTGTGTGGTGACAACAAAGGTGCTCATATTCTGAGGATCTAATAGAGTCTAGATGACAGCATCAAGGTGGCATAGGAGACCAGATGAGCAGGCCTTCAACTGAGAGCTCAGTCCCCATTAAGTCAAGATATTTCATTCTAATCTTGGCACAAAACAGTAGTAATAGCAACAGGGGGCTCTGCTTTCTTTTCTGAAATAACTATTGTTCCCATGGGTTTTCCAGACTGTCCTCCTTTAAATCTGGAAATGGTTTCCTGTTCTACAAAGAAAATATTCCTCCATTCAAGTGGATTTACAAGGGAAGAGAAGTGGTGGGGGGAGAACAAAGAGAAGGGATTGAATCCAAGAAAGCGTGCAGGAGAAAAGGAACTGAGTAAAGGAGCACAATAGGGTTCATTCTTCCAACTTCCTATGCCACCTCCTTTGCTTCTTCAGTCCAAATAACCTAGGTGGGCTAAATAAAGTAATGCCATTCAAGATGGAAATTTAACTGAAGCCTGAGCATTTGCCATTGTCAATGTTAAGCATTGTTCATGATAACTATGGCACAAACTAAGGATAAATCTATGTAGGAGAAAGAGCAGCCTGAAACGTGACTGTTTCCAGCATGTGAAGAGGCAATAGGACATGTCAGTACTAAACAAGCAGTCATGTTTCTCAAGGCATGTTTCTCTTCCTCTAGAAGACGTTAAAATGAATTAATAAAATGTGTTAAAACTGAAGCTCCTACGCACAGAAATATGTTCAGAAGAAAATGAAAACGTTACTTCTGACGTGACCATAACAGAACAAAAAAGGTCTTGAGCTACAGATGTGCCAGATACTGGAATGGGACTTCCACTGGAGAAGTTCATTTAAAAGAAACTTTAGTGCTGTTGAGACAGAAGAGCCCCTGCAGGACGGTAAGAATTAAACACAAACTGAAGTCAGAAGCAGCCTTTCACAACTAAGGTGTATTTTATTTAGTCCTCTTAGTGATATTCCATATAAAAGACCATTGACTTGATTTAAAAGCCCTAATAATAAATCCTCTGATGCAGATGTTTCCTGTACAGGAGGCAAAATCTTCAGCCATGTAGAAATAGTTTTTGACCATCATAATCCTACCTAGATATCCTACAAAGAAAGGTGATTAATTCATAAATACTTATTTTTTTTTGTCATAATAAAATGGAAGTGAAGAAGACAGGATGCAGCAGCATCTTCAAGAGTAATGTGCTTTCTTTTACTACAGGGTTACATCTTCACTTAAGGTGTTTTTGTTTGTTTGTTTGTTTTTGTTTGTGTATGTGTGTGTTTTGTAGTTTTCAGAAATTATTCTGGACTTCCAGACTCTCTTCTTCCATGCAAGAAGTATAACTGCTGGTGTAATGACTTTCGTCACATTCACAGCAGTTACATATTTTGTATGTCATAATTTCCATTCGATAGGATTTCTTTTTGCTTATTGCTCCGAAGTATACACCCAGCATTTAAAGTTGAATCTCCCTATATTTGCTTTTTGACTGTACCTTTTCCTAATCTTCAACTGCTTTTCTGTTATAGAAAGAAAAATCAATATGGTGTTTAAAAAGAAATGTAGAAGAGCTGAAGAACTGGAGAGAAGCAGCTCTTGCTTGGCCATCTGCAGTTACTCTATATGCATTGTACATTGAAGATAGCTCTGCTAAAATGCTATTTTGCCTGTGCACAGCATACTAACAAGATGAAGAGAGATTGTGTTCAACTTGCACAGCTTCATTACGAAGCCAATGAAGTTAAGTAAACATTATTCTTGAAATGCAGGAATTTATCCACGTTTAAAGGACAGCCTAATTCTTTGAAAACCCCTGTGCTAGCCAGACACAAAGAGCACCCCTTATCTTGAGAAACCTGAGTGAGACACCAATAGTTTCCACGTGAGCTGCTATCAGAATTCAGGTCTTGTACCTATAATGAAGGGTAAGATAATGAATTATTTCTAGTAACAATAATCTATTCCTGCGATGCATACCATGAAGATCTCCGATATTAGCATATGTGCAGGTCATACACCTGTTGAAGGCACCATTTGCCATTGCCACAAATGCTGATTTTTCATTATCTTCTACAAAGGAACTAAGACCTTGTCCTCATGGGATGAAATTCAAAGCATTTACCTTATTGAAGAACTTAAAACTCTCCCCTGAGAGAACAAGTATGGAAGCTCTCACTGAAAAGAGAGAGTTAAAGCAAGAAATCAGAGCAGCAAATGGCAACGTATTCTGCTTCTGATAGTCGACTGGAAAGAAAAGGCTGTACTTTGGGCTAGAGGCATGGCCGCGTGAAGAATTAGTCCTACCTAAGAGAATAAAGTGTTTCAAAGAATTTAGAAAGAAATAAAGACGTGAGAAAGAGGAAGCAGAATGGCCTAGCAGGAGCCGCAGCTGAACTCTCACAAGGTACCACACTGAAGGAGGGATATTTCCATTTCTTATTCTTCTGCAGGATGAGGTGCATGCACTGGGAGGCTTAGTCACGCACCCAGAGGGAACAATATCCAGTTCTTTTACTAAAAAAAAAACACAACACTTTCCTTGGTATTTGAACAGGAGCCTGGAAGCTCACTGGGGTGAGCGGGTGCCAAGGCCCAGCAGCGCCGTGCCCCCTGCTGCCGCCCCGTGCAGCCCCAGCCCGAGCTAACAAGTCCCACGGGGCACTCGGCGACAGCGCTGCCGGAGGCATCGCAGTTTGCATCCTCGGGACATACTTAGGGTCTTCTCTTACTTCCTGAGCCTCTGATGTTGTATTCTAATGGTATTTACAGGTTCTTTTAATGTAGTAAGATGTGTTTGTGGGTGCTTTAATTAGCAGATTGACATAAACAGGCATCTATGGCTGGAATTATTCATTAGGAGTTGGGTGCCTAATTTCCTTAGATACTTTTGAAAATCTCACCCCATCATGTTTAATTAAAAATGTCAGATGATATCAATACTCAGATGTGTCTGCTGTTAGTCTCCCGAGAAGATTTCCAAAATCTACTTCTCATTCCATCTGTTCCTGACAGAGGAAGGACTGACTTGGCCCATTCTTGAACCAAAACGTCAACAAATAATTTTAAAAGACTATAAACTGCAAATGATATTAATCTCCTGAGCAGGCTTCTGAAGCCTTACTTGGATACTGCGTGCTCCCAAGCATCTTGTAAGCTAAGAAATAGGAAAACAGGCTTTCTGCGAACTCCAAGGGAGAGCACGCTTCTTTTTCAAAAACACAACTTGCCTATTAGCCAGCAATTTCCAGATTTGCTAAGAAAACTGCTTCTCCTACAGGAGGGCCACGAAGCAGTTCCTTTTAAAATCACACACATGGTGCTCCAGGCATGTACATATGCACACAAACATCCAAGCAGCCTCACAGCCTCACTCTCTCGGACAGACATCCATGAGGACAGCCTCTCTAGAACAGTCATTTGTTTTAGGTGAGAATTTGGGGGGAATTTACTACAGTTTTCCTCACAAGTTCCTGTATCTTCCTGCTGGTGTTTTTCCAGGTAAGAAATCATCAGTTTCCATGAGTATGACAAATCAGATTTTTTTCCTTCGGGAACTCAGAAGGTCTTTTTTCATGGATATGCCCCAGTTTTGCCAGATCTGCCAGTTCAGTAGCTTCAGAATTCATGGATAAACTTTATCCTCATCATTCATGAGCACATGGACGTGTCTCAGCTCTCTGTTGGTAAATCTAGGGCAGCTTTATGATAAAAAAATCTAATGTTCTGCCACTAGGAAGCTAGGAGCCTGTAAGACTGAACAAAATCTACTTTTCTATGTGCATTACTCTACCCTTCTTTCTGTTCTTCTTGTTCAAGTAATTTTATAAAATGGCAGCCAAAGAAAAAAAACAGGACATCAAATCAGTTCTCAGTCACATTAAAAATCTACATTTTATTCCTATGACACATCAAAGCTCAGCTGTACTTACTCTGGGCACAGGAGATGTCTGGGTACCTTTCCTTTGGCCACTAGTCTCAGGCGTCAGGTCTCGGTGGTCCACCTGAATGTGGCTCTCCAGGTCTTCAGCACTTTCAAATTTGACACTACACTCCGGACACCTCAGACTGCCACACGGTCTCTCATTCACCTCCTGCGGGGTCAAGCCCAGAGACTGTCCATTGGTGCTCCTGGTCATGCACCCAGCACACAGGCCATAGGGAAGGCCGTTCACATCCAATTTTACCAAGTCCTGCTTATTTCGGAACTCTTTCAAGCACAACGCGCACTTGTAGAGTTTTTGCAAGGCCTGGCCGTTGGGCGACGAGGTTGCAGAGTTTCCTGCCAATTTCTGCATGTGAAACGTCCCGTGAATTTTCAGCTCAAGCGTAGAGGTGACCGTCTGCATGCAGACAACGCAGCGAAACCCGGTGAGGGAGTTTCTGAGGTCGGGATGCATCTGGCAGTGTTCAATAAACTCCTCCTCGCTCTGCAGCGGCATTTTGCAGATCCGACACGTTCCCGTATCCAGACTCTTGCTGTGGGTGACCTTGTGCTCGGTCAGGGTCAGGAGCGATGGGAAGCGTTCGCCACAGATGGGGCACATGTAGTGCTTCGCTGGGCCCCGGTGGGTCTGCATGTGCTCTCGCAGGCCGTTTTCTGAGAAAAAGGTCCTTGAGCAGATATTACACTTGTGGCTGCCTTTGATGAATTCCGCTTTCTTCCTAGAACAGTCATCCTCCCCGGGACGGATGTTATGATCTCTCAGGCGATGGTTCTGCAAGAGGACCTCCATGGTATAGGCAGCCCCGCAGATGTCACAGCCGTACATGGGCTCAGAAGCATCTACATCGTCCTCGCTGGCTTCGTGGCTGTTGGAAGTATCTGGGTTCTTCATCAGCATGTTCTGGATATCTGCCCCTTCCGTCTTCTTATTTGTTGGGGTCATGCCATTAGCTGTCCCATTCTCAGCGCTGGCAGTCAAAAACACAGTGTTTCTCCCGCAGGTGTTTTTCGAGCAAGATGATGGCATGAAACGCTTTGCTGCAAAACTTGCAGTTGTATTTCTTGCTGTGAGTTGTGATGTGGCACTGCAGCTCTACCTCCGTGCTAAAAGTCTCACCGCAGAAGATGCATTTGTGAGACTTTGATGGATTCCCCAGGTGACTGTGCTTCACGTGGATTTGGAGATCCACCTCCTTCCTAAAATCCCAGTTACAGGCTGTGCAACGATACATCTTCTTTTCATTGCTGTGCTTGACTGCCAGATGCACTTGGATAGATACCTTGGAATCAAAAACTTCTTGGCAAAGGGTGCAGTGATACAACACAAAAGTATGCATGTCCAACAAATGCTTCTGCAAATCATCCACCGAAGAAAACTGTTTGTCGCAGCTCTCACACACATAATGGGTTGAAGTTGTCATGTAATGCACGGTGAGATGTTGCAGAAGAGACTCCTGGGAATCAAAGTCTTCTTTACACTGAGGGCAAGACTGTTTCCTCAACAGCAACTCCAAATGCAACTTTAAATGGGTTTGAAAACTCTCAAAATTTGAGAACTTTAGATCACACTGATTACATGGGTATTCACCGTTAGACACTGAGTTTACACTAGCAGAAAGCCGTTGCCTTTTAGGGGAAGAGACTTCAACATCAGAAGAAACTGGACTCTGCTCTGCTTTTGACTTCTTATTGTGTGCCAGAGGAATGTTCTTGTGGTTTTCTTTAATATGCTTTGTAAGCTTCAGGATGGAGCCAAAAATGGGGGAGTTTGTGCAATAAGGGCATGAATAAACTTCCATAAAAGACTGTGTTGGCTGAATGACAGGGGAATCCAATTTTGAATTTCCTACATTGCAGTGAGTCTGCTGAATATGCTCAGTCAGGGTTGCTTCGGTCAGAAAGCCCATGGAGCACTGGTTACAGAAGAAGGCGTTGTTGCCATCTTGAGGGGTAGCATTTGGGCCACAGTGTGTGATACGGATGTGTTCCTGCAAGCTGTTGATGTCTGCAAACATCTCAGGGCAGTAGTTACAGTGAAAGGCAGAAATGTTGCTGAACTGCATCATAGGATAGGCATGGTTTTTGTGCACCTTTCTCACGTGTTCATTCAAGTTGTACAGCGTAGGCATGGAATCAAGGCAGATCTGGCACGTGTGGCTTTGCTGAGGTTTGTCTGCATGAATGGTCTTCAGGTGGATCTCCAGAACAGCAAGGCTGTTGAAGTCACGCTTCGAGCAGTATGGGCAGCTGTAAGTAACTTTAGACCAATTCTGGCCTTCCTCTCTGTCCACAGACCTGATTTTCTTCTGTCCTCTCAAAGGCTTGAGGGTCGAATCGGGGGTGGAACCTCTTTCCACCGAGGCGCTGGAGTCGGGCGTTGCGCTGCTCATGGACGCCACGCTGCCCAGGACGGGGTCAGGGCTGATGCTGTGGTTGCTGGAGTCGGGTTGCCTGTGGCTGTCCAAGTGGCAGTAGACTTCCTCCACTGAAGAAAACTGCTCTGGGCACATAGGGCACTTGTGTTTTTTGTTGGCATGGGCTTGATGAATGTGTGAGAGCAGCAAGTTTTCGTCTGAAAATACTTCAGGGCAATGAATACACTGCAAATCTGCCTTCTCGGAAAGCTGTGGGTGGCGTGTCATTACGTGCTTCTCCAAATCTTCAGTCTGACTGAATGTCTCTTCACAGTAATCACACATAAAATCATCCTTCTTCACCTCTTTCTCAGTCTTTGCCATATGTTCCTTGTTCTTTTTATGAGCTTGCATGTGACTCTGCAATGAGCTGGTAGATGAAAACCCACGTTTACACACAGTACACTTGAACGGTTTGCTGGAGCTGTGGGTTTTCAGATGAATTTTGAGGTGGTCGCTGCGAGAGAATGCGGCCTCGCATTCGTGGCAATGGTACTTTTTATCCCCTGTGTGAAGCTTTATGTGGCGATCCCTACTTCTCTTGTGCTTAAAAAGCCGGCTACAGTAGGTGCATTTGAAAGGTAGTTTGTCACTGTGGATCTGCTCGTGCCTTTTAAGGTAGCTCAGGCGAATGAAGGACTTATCACAAAACTGACAGGGATACGGCAGGCCAGTCCCCCCTTCCTCCTCCCCGATGCCGAGATCACACCCATCTCCTATCATCTGAGTGGGTGATGCAACATCTTTGCTGGAGGGAGATGAAGCCACCCAGGAGAGTTGTGGGTCGTCATCACCATCTGTAATGGGAAAGCAGAAAGGAGATTAAAAACAATTCCCAGTGCATCTGTGAAATAAGGACAAAGCTCTCAACAACACTATGGGCTTCTGCTACTACAGCATAAAAAAAAATCAACTCAAAAAAAAAAAAAGAGTATCTCTTGAATTTCAAAGGAGGTTTGAGAAAGACAAATAAAAATATATTTGCAAACATAATTCACAGATATACAAACACAGAGTATTAATAAAAAGCGTTTTTCTTTAGCAGGTTTAACACCTGCTCACTGTACTGTAAAGCAATAAACAATGAATAAAGAAAGCAAAACACAATGTGCAGTGAAGCAATACAAACGTTTTGGAAAGCTACAGTATTAAGTGATCACCTGTGATTTTGTGGGTCTTTTTAAATGCTACATCGAGATGACTTTAACTAATGTCCCCATTAAACAAAATCCTTCAGTTCTGTCTCAAAACTGTAATAGAATTAAAGGCTGCTCAAAAGCAAGCAGATTCAAACACCTATGTGAAATAAAGCATCAGATCTGAGGCAGCTTGACAAAATCAGAGACCTGCATCACTACCACATCCATTCACAGGAAAGGTAACGTCGCCTGCTTGGTGCAAAACCAACCTGACAAATTAAAAACAAACAAACAAACAAATAAACTAAACCAGAAATGATCACTGGAGATCTCAAGACATCACAAAACAATCAGCTTCAGGAGAAAACAACAATGGCTCAGCCCCTGCTTTAATGACTATTTCCTTTGCTCCATATGAGGCTTTGGAAAATATTTTATAATTTTAAATTACCAAAAAGAAACACAGGACCATCTCCAGCAGCAAAACACTCATTTTAGGAAAAATACATAAAGTTTTGGCAGCTCTCATAAACGGAGTTGTTAACGAGAAACAGAAGAAAGTTCAAATATCCTAATCCCAATAAATGTGGGGATGTTGAGCGAAGCACAAATGCCACTGCTCTGATACAGAACTGATCCGTGGAAGGAAGCAAAAACAAAAGCCGTGTAAGCGGGGGAAGGCGCTGACCACACGTATATGTGGGGATTCAGAACAGAAAGCGGTTCTCCAGATGCGCTGTCCTTATAAAACATTTAGTGCTCCTACTTCAGCTCTCGCTGAAGCAAACCAATACACGCCTCCCAGCCGCGCAGGGGCTGCCCCACGCCTGCCAGCCCACGGCCACCGCTCGCCGAGCAGCACGTGGGGGCACAGGGGCTCGCGGGGAAGAGCTGCCTGAACGGGGACATCACCGCGGCAAGAGGCTGGGCCCTCCGTCCCGCTGCCCTTGTCAGGGCCTCTCCTTTCACCCCCCGGACCCAGGCTCCCTGCTGAAGGCTCCAGCAGCGCCTCCAGCCCCGGGCGGCCTCCTTCCTGGGACGTGCCTGCTGGGTGCCTGCCCTGCCGCCCTCGCAGCCAAATTTCCTGCTCCAGAGCGATGCTGGCCATGAGGAACGCGCTCCCAGCCCTGAGCGAGCACCCACTTTTTAACACCCCCCAGCTCCTCGTGCTCGGCCAGCTCCTGAAGCACCAGCCGGGAGCCACGGATCTCCACACCGACCTCCCCAGCCTTCCTTCTCCCGGCCTCTCCGCGCGGCTGCCACAAAGCCCGGCTCCCCAGCTCACAGCCAGCTCGCCCAGCGCTCCTGCCCGCCACCGCGGCACCGCTCGGCCCCCGAGGAGCCCCCGGCCCCCGCCTGCCCCCGGCCCCTGCCCCGCCGCCAGCAGCCGCCTCCGGGCCCCGTCCCCACGGACCCCCGGCCACGGCCCCGTGCGTGGCGGGCAGGGAAGGAGGGAGGGAGGCAGCCGGCTGCCAGCGCCTGGATTAGGGGCCCCGGGGAGGTGCCGGTAGCTCGGGGCTGGCTAATTCCCTGCTCTCGCCAGCTGGGCTCCCCCAGGGGCAAGGAGACAAAAGGGAGCACGAGGGGGATGCTGGGCCCGAAGTAGGGCAGCACATGTTGCGCGTGCTGCCGGCTCTGCCGGGGAAAAGAGGAGAAAAACAACAACAGGGGAAGGAGAGCGCACGGCCGTTGTGTTATTCACTACCCTGCCTTGCTGGCTGAGATTTGGATACTAAAAAACGAGCGCTTTGCAGGAACAGTTAGAAAAATAAACGCGTTTCATACATCCTGCCTTTGGCAGCCAGGCTGCCTGCGTCTATTGTGGGCACTGGTCTGCAGGGGAACGACTGCACCGGGGGAGAGCCCAGAGCACTAAAAACAGTTTTGGTGGATCAAGCTTCGGGGTTCAGCCGTACACTGAAGGTGCCAGGGCCAAACCCAGGTAACACAGGCCGGGCCAGCTCCTTCAGCTGTGTGACTTTACATGCGCTTGTGCCAGCCACTAAGTTGGCAAAATCAAACAAATGCTGTAGAAGTTCTCCTTCTGCTCTGAAATGAGCCAATCTACCTCAAAATGCATTCTAGCAGTCAAAGAACAACAGCCCCCCTCCAGCTGCTGCCCTTCAAACATTTGGGCTGTTCAAAAACCAAAACCAAAGGCTGATGTGATTCTGGGAGCGATGCACAAAGACGTCGCTGCGCTGCTGTCAGCTGGATTCACAACCATTAACATTGCTGCGGCTGAAAAGCGGAGTTTGTGTTAGAAAGGGAAGCATTTACACAGACAGCTGAAAGCAAAGATTGTCTCCTTCTGTTAGCCTGACTGAGACCTTTCCTCGATTTTCATGTTTAACTTCTTTTTCTTGCACTGTTTGCTCATTCTTTGAGAGGTTAAAAAGAACTGGGAAGCTTTAAGGCCCAGGAACAACCCACCTTGACTTTCTCACAAACAAGATACTAAATTACAAAATGCCTAAAACTGAAGAAATTAGGAAAGAGTCATTATCATTAATCTCTTTATTGAATGAAAAATAGCCCTGTTAATTTTACCTTGCCATTTTAACTTGAAGAAAAGACCTATAATGAACTGAGAAGGAAATTCTAAGGTGTTTTACCAGAGCAATATTTTACTGGGAAGATATATATTAGATGTAGTGTGACACGTCTGGCAATGGCGGTTAGAATAATAATTCTACATTAATGCAATCAAAGGAATGTAGCAGAATGAGAAAAATCACTTTCAAAAAGGAGATTAAAGTCATTAAAAATGGCTAATCCTGCAAAGTGGGACTGTTCTAAAATAGAGAATCACATGGCTGGTGCAAGGCTTTTGTCAGTTGCGCATAAGAGAATGAAAACAAGTATTAAAAGGAGAAGAAAATTCAATAAAAAGTTTAATTAGGAAAAAAATAGCATTGAGGAAGCTTCAGGCTGTCAGTGGTTTTCAGGATGTATGTGTGGGTCACGAAGCTTAAAGGGCCAAAGTTGATAATCAATCTCCAAGTGGTACAGTAATTTAGCAACTTAATGTTCAGCACGTTTATGGGACTGCAAGCATTTATCATCATCACTGAGGAGCTAATTCCAGCCTCAGCGCATTCAATAAATGTATTTTGCCTTCTAATAAGAGCAATTTGGCCAAACTGCAGTATAAATCATACTTCATTCTCTGTTTATCTTCCAGATAACACGAGCCAGGTTCAGAAATATACACATGAAGCTAAAAGAAATAAAATCAAGTCTTAAAAAAACATGGTCTCTTTCAGGACAGAGACATGCAGCACATCACAGATCGCCAGATGCGAGCAGCGCTGTCTCCTCAGCATACACCGATGGCAATATATTTATTATTTCAAAGTTACATGTATTTTGCTAATAGAAATCAAACAAACGCAACACAATTTCTTAAATACCCAGGGTTTGGCCAAGGAGACGACTTCAGGGACTCCCCTCCTGAGAGGACAAGAAGCCACAGAGGGCAGCTTTGGGAGGTGCTCCTATTCTGCCAGGTTTGTTCCTCTAGCACAGAGCTAGTACCCCAAAGCAACAGCTGCATTAACAAAAACAAGCCCCAAAAATCAATTCCTGAGGAAAAGATTGCTGTTCGATGTAAGTTCAGATTCCCGGTTCTTTCAGAGCCCCTCCATGACACCTAAGCTAAAACGCCCAAAACACTCACATTGCGTTAGACAACTGAAAGTTGGTGGAGTTCTGGCACCCCCAAAAAAAGTAAGCTCCTTTCGAAAACAAACTTGGTATCATGAGACATGCTCACACACTGTCTGTGTCTCAGCTCCTCACGTCCGTGGTAGGGAAAAGCCATCTGCTGCTCAAGGGCAAATTGTAGGGCTTACTTCTGCATAGCTGTGAAACCCCGAGACATCCTCAGACAGAAGGCCTGATAGAAACACTACCAATTTCAATAATTATTATTATCACAGACGCTTAGCTACAAGAATACAACACCAAAATTGAGAGAAAAGGGCTGAGAAATCTTCACTAGTGGTTATAGCAAAATTTGAATTGCTCCACTACGCATTAACGCCGAGGATAGATCATTACAATGGATTATGGTAAGAACCTCACACAGCATACGCTGTTCATTTACACTGCAGTGCTGGTGTGAAATAATGCAAATCAAGTTTACATACCAAATGTTTTAAGTTTCAATGTTTTCAGTGCACTGTAACAGCTTTTTCCTTTTTTTCTTTTTTTTTTTTCTTTTTGGAGTGTTTAGCCCCATTTTCCTGTATGTTTCTTGCACAGAGAAAACAAAGTAAATATTAAAAAATCGCACTAATATTCCAACCCCAATTTTGATGCACAAATTGGCTTCACCGAATGCTTTTGCTCTTTGTCACAGGAGGCAATGGTGGGCTATGAACCACCAGCTCTCGGGGCAGCGATGGCATTTTGTGCCGACACCGCACCCGTCAGAGCAGCACCACAACCAGGTGGCTGTGTCTGAAACCCGGCGTGCAGGAGCACTCCAACGCGCCTTGCTAAACAACAGAAAAGGGCTTCTACAGCTTAGAATTATCCCTACAAAAACATCACGTAACTAGCCCCAGAACTGGTCAGCCCATCCTCACTCAGGCATGAGAGGCACTGGCAGCCCAACTGCCCCGAAGGGCTCCATATGCAACTCGGGAACATCG